TACTAATATTATTATTATAATTATCATAATTACAGTGTAGACTACATGTAAGTCTATTATTAAATTTGCATTACAAAAATCACAGTTTGCCAGAAGCAATCAGCCTAATAGAAAACAGACAAGAACAACAGCGACACTGTAAAGAAGTAGAAGGAGTAGACCACATCTGAGAGGCCAGCAAAGATCAGCATATCCTAAAAAGTTGAGTGACAACTAAATAAGTAAACAGATTTCAACACTTTCTTCTATCCTACCCAAGCCCTCACTGATAAAGACAGCTTTTTTTCCCCAAGTATGGGGTGACATGATCATTTATACACATCAGCACCACCACAAGACATAGAGTACTTTTAATTACAGTATGTATTATGCAATTACAGGTGTTCCATGCACTTATCAAGAAAATTTAGAACCATTAGGAGGCAGGTTACTTTGACCATGACTGTCAAGGCCAACACAGCCAAAGATGGATACAATGAACAATGTCCCAGCAGACTGTTAAAAAAAAGTTTTTAAAAAACCCTCCCTAGACGAGAATCCAACTCACATCTTCTGCTTGTGTTGGTGAAGAGGCTAACCACTGCGCCACAAATGCCGGTGCAATTACAGTACAAACACTATCATAATATGTAATAATAGAACAGTCTACTGACACATGAACCAAGTAATGTACTATGGCTTCTACTTTTTCTGCTCGGTCAAAATTGTCACAATTATCACTTGTTAGCTTCTCCTTACTCCCCCATACAAGGAAACAATTTCCAATTTAACACTTTAATTTATTTGAAACCTCAGGAAGGCAGCACTAATGCAGAATAAATACAGAATAATGGAAGAGCAAACACTCATGAGATCCTGGTGAATTAACTTGACAATATTTAGAGAGCTTAAACAAACCGATTGTGAGTGAAAAGTCAGCAGCCAGTTGAGTACCTGCCAGTGAGTAACAAGTATTGGCAATTACAAAGAGAAAGGATTTGCTTGGAACATTTCCGAAACTTCAGTAAGGAGATTATAATCCAAGCCATTGCGTATTATGTATTTTAGAACACTTTATATAAATTAGAATGAGAACATAAAGCCTTTAAAAGTGTAATCTATTTGGACCATATATAAAAAAGAGAAAGAAATAAAGAGGTCAAGTAAAAGATACACTTTGTATACCACTGTACAGATGGTAATTAACATTTTAGACCCATTTCAGCTGTGAACTTAAAGTGCAAAGAGCTTTTAATTTTTTATTGAAATTTGAAACATAAATGTTTATTACTATCATATTGCGTATCATGATAACCATTATCATTACAGTGATTTTCATTGTAACAAGTATTGTCATTGCTATTTCTTTTTTGTCATCTTCTACTACTATTATCAATACTAATCCAAATAAAGCCAAACAGAATTCAATATAAAGACCATCATGAGGAAACTATTTTTTCCCATATTTTTTATATATATGATTGTGACGCTGAATTACTACAAATTAACAGAAAATATCATAGGTCAAGCTTTGGTCTTT